TTACATTGAAGTGCATCAGTTTTAGGTAGTAGAGGTGTTTACTTTAATTTATCTGTAATAGAAGATTACTATACTGAAAAAAGATATTTTTAGCTAAAATACTGGTATTAGTATAACTGGGTTTTGTTGATTCTTCTGCATCATTAATGAGGTAGTCTTTTATCCTGGCTGTACAGGACAGATACTGTTTAGCAGGATAAGCATCTGAGATATTTTAGTTCCTGGTAGACTTAAATTTGTGTCCTTCAGTAATATGTTAAAATTGCATGAATGTGTGTGAAGCTTAGGAAAAAGCCAAATTTAATGTGATACTAACTGGTACTAAAGAGTCTGAAGCTAAAAATGTTCTCCCATAGCATGGAGAAGTTTTCCAGATTTCTGCCTCCTTCCTCACAAATTCAGATACAACTGGAGTATTTTGCAGAGTTGTAACTAAGTAAAGTTGGTATTTTATACAGCTGTAGTTGAAAATGAGGAGGTGAAATTTTTTTTAATCAAATTTGAAGCCAGTCCAAAAGGACAGTAATACACGAACCTAATTTTTCTGCAGCCTCTTCTTGTGACTTACAGCAGCAAGGCAATATATATTGTCAGTCTTCTGAAGACTACTTGTAGTAGAACTATTACATTTCTACTTACAATTATTCAAAAGATTGCCTTTTAGTTAATCGTCTAATTTTGTGTAGCTTTTTCTATACTGAATACAAAGACAACTCCTTCGCAGTCAAAGAACTTTACTAGCAGCCAAGACCTTGTAACACCTACTCTTTTCCTCCCACAACCTTAGATCACCTATAATTTTGACCACTTGTATAAACTTTAATTTCTTTCAAAGATATTTCTAACTATTAAATCTATATCTCTGAAGCATCAACAAAAAGAGTAGCATTTACAACTTTATATATCCTCCAAGATTTGTCAGAACAAAGTAAAGGAATTAACAGTTGGCTTCCTGCTATCTGGTTTTAAACTTGTATAAAATCTTTATATCCATTGCTATGATTGAATCTTTCCTACAGTGTTCTGAAACCGTAGCTTTTTTAATGGCACCAGTGATGAATACTTTGAATGAAGCTGCTTAGCTACTGCTTTCATCTTTAGTAGATGATGTTTTCTTTTGCTGTGGACTTGTAAGATTTAAGTATCTTCCATGAAATTTCAGTACTTAAAAAGGATCAAATGTTGGCATGTTGATTAGTAGTAATGGAAAAGGCCATAACATTTTTTCATTTATATCAAAGCTTCCAACTTCCCCTCATAGATAGCAATCAAAGGAAAACTGGAACAGCTCTGATAGACATGTGGAAAATGTGAAGTATTCACTAACTTGATGTTACATAACTTCTGGTTGTGCCATCGGGAGCAAAAGAGCTAAGAATTCAAAGTAAGCATAATGCCTCGCTTCTGGTAGTACCTGACCTGTCACCCTCCCTGTTTAACCCCTTCTTGTCAGATGTTTAAAACCAGATTCTTAAGTTTCTGTCTTTAGCTTTTCAGATAGATTGAGTATAATTTTCAAAGAAACTATCACCACACTTGACTTCTTGTAACCTAGTTTCTCACCATTTCAAAAATCAAAACAAAAACTTTACCATATTTAAGTCAAACTGTACAGTAGTGAAGACAATTCAGAAAATCAGCAGATTAATAGTGATGCTTTTAGTGGCAATAAGACAAGTTTCCTCACGTGTATAAGCATTTTTTATTTCCTATCTCTAGATAAGCACTGTAGTGATATCCCAAGACACTTTAAAACCTCTTGAAAAACTCAAGATTTGAAGACGTGAAAGCACTCCAACATGAAGTAAATACTTTTCAGGAGAAGTGATAAAATGCCATCCGATTACTTCTAAGTTCCCCAAGCAATGGGGGTAGCAATTTAATATTCAGCTCAGTTGTAATCTCAAATATGGAATGCACTTAGTATTAAATGAGGAAAATTTTTGCCTTTTTTTTCTTTATATGCTTGCCAAGAAAGATTAAAATAGCCACACTTGCAGAAGTCTTTAGGGTTCTCACTCTTACTGGCTCCCATATTTACACTCTTCTCTTTTTTTTTTTTTTTTTTTTTTAATATCGGGAGGTAGGAGATAGATAGTCTCTGATCTTTAAAATGTGTCTCTTGATGGCATGATCACAGACTTGATTTCCTCTTTTTTTTTTTTAAAAAAGTGATTACCAGTACTTAAAAATAAATGAAATTTAGAAAAATAAGTTGTAGAAAGACAATTCCAGTTGTATTCCAGACAATTCCAGCTGCAGGATGGCTACACTATGACTTAGCATTTTCTTTAAGCTACACTGAAACAGAAACTGCGTGAATTTTCAGAAAGCATAATGTTTGTTACATTTCTAACTAACTAAAGAATTGTGGAAGAGATTAGCTTAAACCCCTCTCTGTACCCACATGCATGTTAGAACGGTGATTTTAACGGAGTATGAACTGTAAACATGCAAATGACCAGCCCAAATTGTAAGCTCTCTTCTAACTGGAATATCAGAATATACCAAGTTCTGGCCTTTCTACAAATCCTGTTTTTTCTTTTGAACTGGTGTACAGAAACGTATTGCCTACTGTATGTCTCGTCTGTACACATAACTTAAGATTTTGTGGACAAGATCACTTCTGAAAGATCTCTGTAAGTTCTGTAATGTGTAATAAGAGTATGATGCTATGTTTCATTCTTCTGGGGATGTTTCGGGATCTTCCTCCTTTGCACAAATACTTATTTTTACACAAAATAACTGACTCAGTCATGTCCAAGACTGCTGCTCTGTTTGACAAGCTAGTTGAGTTCTGCCAAATGTTCTGGGGGAGACAAATTAAGGCTGTGATCACATAAGCCTTGTTTCCACAGGAAATAAAAATAGCCATGAAAAGTAGTTCATAAGCTAATCAGGTTATGAAGGAGAAAGATGATAATCAACTTCCTTACAGACCATTTTCAAGATGTTAACCTTTCTGGTAGCCCCTCAGAAAAGGGGCTACCCACCCTTTACTATTACTACCATCACTATAAATGAAGAATGTGGATGTGCTGCTTTGTGGCAGGTTCCTCTATGAGCTGTGAACTTCAGCTAGCTTTTCTAGTCTGCTTCTCATCTTAGCTATCTAATATCCAAAAGGTATGATTAAAAAAAAAAACCAAACAAAACCAAAAAAGTAGTCATGACATTTTCCTCACACTAGGTAGTATTACCTGAGCTTTCTTCCTTTTTTCTTCAGTGAAAAAAGGGGTATCTTGATTATTTTAGACCATCATTGGTCTAAGCACTGAGGTACTTGTCATCTTGTGCAGAATATTACACAAAATTTTACACCTTAATCAAGACTGAATAAAAGAATGGGTTAGTCCATTATCCTGATCTGTAACTAAGGAACCATATCACCATATTACAAATAGTCTATGGAAAATAAGTATTACTCAGGCAAGTTTCTGAAGTAAAGCTAGAGATGCAGGAATTTTCCATTTCCCCTTAGAAGAAAGATAGAGAACAGAATACTGTAATTTTTCGCTTGGTCAGTTTGGAGTTGAGGATTACTAACACTAGCCAGAATGTAGGAATTGCCTCCATCCAAGTAATGCAGATACATTGGAATTACAATCTCATGCAGTATAAATAGCTGCTAATATCTGGCCTGAAGTCTAACACTACATGTAAAAAGTCTGAAATTTACATTTTGATCTGAATGTGAATGGCTTTACATGAGTTTCTTTTTGGGAATTTGTAAGTAACTGGTGTAGCTGAGCTGATTTTCCATTAGTTAGAAATACTGCAAGTACATTCTGTGCCTGTCAGGTTTCTCACGGTAGCTCCCTCATTCTCTGTCTTGCTCACTGACCCATGCGGGACAACTTCTAATAAAGGTGGAAAAGCGTTGCCACCCTCCATGCTAGTGGAGTTTATTTACGCCATAAAAACTTGTGCTCAGATAACTTGTTTTGTTTTCAGAAAAAGGAGCAATGCTCTCAATGATATAATCCCTTTTCTCCAACTCGCCAATATTGAAAAATATTGCAAAAGTAACGGGTTTAGGCTGAAGGAAGTTTGAGCTGCTTTTCAGTCTCTTCAGGGGAGGGGAATGAAGGGCAGAGAGTGTGGACCCCATTAGCTGCCAGCATCGTTGAAGTTTACTGGTTTTAAGCATTCCATTCACATGGATTGATTTCTAGTGACTGAAGCATAAACTGACACACTGAGTAGTGAAGTCTGAACGCCTGGAAAAGGAGTTTTAAGTCACCTTGCTAACAACTCTGGGCCTCTGTTTGGTGCCTTTTACTTCAAAGACCATTGCAGGTTTTCTCTCTCTAAAGTAACACTGCAGTAACTTTGCAATTAAGACATGAGATCACAGTTTATTCCATCAGAGTCTTCCAGCAAGGCCAAAGAAAAGAGAAATAGCAGGCATACTAAAGCTTAAGTTTAAAAGAGCCACACACACAACCCCCAGAATCCCCAGCAAGATAACTCTTAATGTTGTAGCAACGAGGGGAGAACTTACTAGGTCATCTCCATTAATCATAACCTAGCTAAAAAAGCAAACCCACCATAATCTTCGGCTGAAAAACTTCAGATCTATTATATAAAAGTCCCCAGAATCTGAGCAGTAGTACTGATGGCATATGGCATGGCAATTCAGAATTCTTGTGTTAATAACACACTATTTCACTTCCTGCTAAAGTACAGCTTGGGTAGAATTCCCCCCCCCGCCCCACCCCAAAAGTCATCATTCCTCTGCAGCTGTCAAAAGACTGTTCACAAGCTCCAGCAATTCTTACAGTAGGAAGAACTGTTAAGTGCTTCAAAGCGCTGTTTGCAAATAAACATTTAGTAAAGCCATAAGCATTATAGTAAAAGGGATAAAGACTTACCTCTGTACTCTGATATTTAAAATACAGTACTGGATAAATGCTATAGCATATTCTTTGAAACAGATTTGGGGGGAAAGACTTGCAGTTTTCTCTCATGAAGTAACTTTATAACTGCTTGTGTTACAGATTGCCCTGAAATATGACCCCCAGATAGAAGAAGATCTGCGTAACTGGATAGAAGAGGTTACAGGGCTGAGCATTGGTGCAAACTTTCAACTGGGATTAAAAGATGGCATAATCTTATGCGAGTAAGCATTTATTAAGTAACCTTATTTTTAGTAGTTTTCCACTTTTGAGGAACTAAGGAGGGACTTTCTGAAGACCCCTTCAAACACATCAACAATAATAGTCAAAGATAGCTGATAGTAGGGTGGGAGACAGCTTCTTTGAAATTGTGGAGAAGAATGAAAACTTAAATCTCCTTTGTATGTCAGCAAAGATTTCTAGTATTTCTAAATTTAATGGTGAAGCTCTTTTCTATAATAATCAAATGGCACACAAAAATTCTTATGGTCTGTTAGACTTGTTAGACCTGAGATCTGAACTAGGCACTCTGTATAAACCAAAAAATTAACGATTTTGATGAAACTAATGCAACTAATAAAGCATGAGTGAAAATATTATATAATGCCTGCACCGATGGTATAAGGATGAGATTTATTGTTTAAGCATTTCCTTTTTTCACCTCCCTAGGCTTATAAATAAGCTGCAGCCAGGATCAGTGAAGAAAATTAATCAATCAAAACTAAATTGGCACCAGGTAAAACAAAAAAACCCCCAAAACTACACCTCTAACCCCTCCAACCCCCAAACAGTTCTTTTGTTCTGTATTAACAAATTTGCTGTGAATATGGTACACCTTAAATCTTAATAGCACCAAGTTTTGCATATAATATGTACACAACAGTTGAGGATACTGCATACATGAAAAGCATTTAACAGAAAGCAACTATAAACAGAAAGCAGCTATAGCTGAGATGACTCATAAATGGCAGTTGAGTATACATATTTGATAGTAGTGCTTTAGCTGTTAGGTGAAATTTCAGATGGAAGAAGAACGTAGAGCCGTATAGCAAGGCCTTTTTCCAAGTTAAAAAAAGCTGTTAACTTTTATATTAAATCCCAGCTGTGGTTTTCCATCCAGGCAGTGCTGCAAGGTGTTAGGTCAATAGCTTGCCTGTACCTGGACATTTGAGGTCACTGTACGAAGTGTCCTCCTGAGAAAGCAGCTGGAGAGGATGGGGAGGGAAAGGACCTGAACAGTCTCAGAAGAAATGGTTGTGTAACAGAACTCAGAAAACAATATGGTCCAAACTACAGTATGTATTTTATTTCAGCATATCCAGATTTGATTTCTTATGAGTGCTCTACCTAGCACTTCCCCCCACAAGGGGCTATCAAAGGCAACATGCATTTAGAACAAGCATTGGAAGGGTTGCTGGTTAGGGTTGACCGCCTTTACTGTTGTTGGGTCTAGCTTAATACTGCTATGTCAGCCTCTTGTTTTTATTGGCACTGAACACTTATTTTAAAAAAAGTTCTACTATCTCTTAAGACTTCGGAAGGAAGGATGAGATTCAGTCCTTATTCCTTGTACTCCATATTGCTTTCCAATTTCTACAGCGCACAGTGCTAAAAAGTGCTAATAAACCGCAAAAGCTTAGTTGAATTTGTCCCATGAGGTGAGCAAGCTAATACCTTCAAACTAAGTTAAATGTTCTAACTATCCATATATTTATGTTTTTATTTTACTCAAAATCATCAATTGCTGAAGTCAAATAGCATGGACACTATGTCAAATTTTCCAATTTGAAGCAGGTTTTAGATTAGGATTTCTCTTGGAAGGGACACAGTTGAGAGAGTTTTGTCATCAAAGCCCCCTCTAACAAAGTATATGATACTCACTCTTGGAGAGATGCCAGGCTAGATAAATTGATTTCTGAAGTCAATATTAAAACTAATGAAAAATAATCTCAAACTCCCTACCAGTCACTCTTAACCACGCCAACTGTTTTGTCCAGTTTGCACAAGGTAGAGAGCTTGTGTAAACCAAGCAAAACAAACAAACACCAGAAAGCTTTAAAATTACTTAGTTTCTGAATTGAAACACCAAGTAGAAAACTGGCTTTTTTGTTTCTGTTTAGCTGGAGAACATTGGGAATTTTATCAAAGCCATCCAAGTCTACGGCATGAAGCCACATGATATTTTTGAAGCAAATGACCTTTTTGAAAATGGAAATATGACTCAAGTACAGACTACTCTAGTGGCACTAGCAGGTCTGGTAAGTATTTGTACCCCTGGAATTGGCACAAATCCACATGCCAGGCCAGGTGCACCCTTACCATTTATGTAAATACAGAAAACAACACAAGGCCTGTCAGGAGGGGACAGATCTACTGTGAGTCTGAGATGCTGCAGAGGTTGCACTTCAGAGGGCTGTGTCCCACTGCATGCCTCCAGGGAAGGCCTGGAGTTCAGATTCTTGACTGCGGATGGCCTTGTTCTGGAGCTGCGTGTGCATACACAGCACCGGGGAGGCTCACAGGAGAACGCTAATCACTGCAGAATATCCTTCTGACAGGATACTTGGGTAGCTTTGGAGTGCTACCTTCAAGTGGCATGGGGAACTGTTACCTCCTCTCACCCCTGACACAGAGAGTTTCTCATAAGAGATAAACCTGCTTGTGGCATCACTTGAGAGCCCAGAGTCAGGGCCGTAAAGCCAGTGTTCCAGTAGCAGAAAATACACTTCAAATGCTGAATACTCTATTTTCCATCTCCCTAAATAGGCAAAAACCAAAGGTTTTCATACTACAATTGATATTGGTGTCAAATATGCAGAGAAACAAGCACGAAGTTTTGATGCAGGAAAACTAAAAGCTGGTCAAAGTGTAATTGGCCTGCAGGTAAGTATGAAATTCAAGTTTGCAGTTAATCTGTTATATTTGAGAATAACTTTCTTGTTTTGATTAACTGATACATTGTTTATACAAAAACAGCTGCAGAATTACAGTATATTCTTATCATGGACGGAGGTATGAGGTTTTAATTCTTGTAAGCAGCTGATTGGCTTTATAAGCTCAAGTGACTGCCTGGAAGGTTTTTCTGTTTGTTTTAAATCTGCAATAAGGGTGATAAGGAGGAAAGGAACAGCTAATATCAGCAGTATCATCTCTGTCCTCTAAAGTGGTTTTAAAGTAGGAGTCTTTGGATAGCTAAAGCTCCTTATATGGTAGAAGCTTTTTCTCTCTCTACTTTCCTTAATAGTCATAAAAACCAAAATAACTGGCATAAAATCTTAAAATTCCTGTGATAGAGAAGTTGTGGCAGTGTAATTGAAACATTACTGTCCAGGGTAAAAGTTAATTATTACATTTTGATGCATACATCCATTCTAATTGCAATGCAGTTGGGTAAATGCCAGTCACTGAAATGCCTTAGGATGACAGTTGCCTTTATTTTTCCTTTTGAAGCTCAGTATGGAGAAAGGGTAATTTATTGCAGGTAGTGGTCAAGCTATAGGAGGAGAGCATGCACCGTAATTACTTTTTCCATCAGCCATCACAGTTACCGACCGTATTTGTTTCCTTAGACTGTGCTTGCTGTACAAATAAAAATCACTGTTTCTGTCCACCTCTTCCTTCCCCCAATAAAGATGGGCACCAACAAGTGTGCCAGTCAGGCAGGCATGACTGCTTATGGAACTAGAAGACACCTCTATGATCCAAAAATGCAAACTGATAAGCCATTTGACCAGACAACAATTAGCCTACAGATGGGCACTAACAAAGGAGCCAGTCAGGTAAGCAGGACTGCGTGTGACGTTTGTAGAGCAGTTACAACTCTCAACCTGGGAGAGCCCGGTGGGATAGGGGAGTCCGAGAGTGGCGTGCAGTAGCAGAGTCTAACTGGCAGCAGTGAGAGGGTACAGTTCAGCTGTGCTTTTATGCAGTAATTGAAGAACTTAAATTTCTTATCACTAACCAGCATCTTCTGTGCTGAATATCTTAAGGCATAAAAATGTCCTGGTGCTTCTAGAATTTCTGGCTGGCTGTGTTATACCAGAAGAAAACAGTAACTTCATTTCAAGCACTAACTAGACAGAGGCAAAAAAGAAACTGCTTCCTGAGCACTACCTCAGTCCAAACACTTAGTTTATTCTCTCCAAAGAGTGAAATAAACTGGACCTTTCTGCAAGGACTTTCTTCTGTGACTTACCTACTAAGTGAACACATGCTTGTTATACTCTAATTCCTACCTTCTAGCACACCCGTAAGGTGTGCTATTGTAATCATAAATCTAGTAATCACAGCTCTTGACCTTCTTACTGAACCTCTACAATCCTGTTTTATTAGGCTGGTATGCTGGCACCAGGTACCAGGAGAGACATCTACGATCAGAAGCACATATTACAACCTGTGGATAACTCAACTATTTCATTACAAATGGGTACCAACAAAGTAGCTTCACAGAAGGGAATGAGCGTGTATGGGCTTGGACGACAAGTGTATGACCCCAAGTACTGTGCTGCACCAACAGAACCTGTCATTCATAACGGCAGCCAAGGAACAGGAACTAACGGGTCAGAAATCAGCGATAGCGATTATCAGGCAGAATACCCAGATGACTATCATGGAGAGTACCAAGATGACTATCAAAGAGATTACCATGGTCAGTACAGTGACCAGGGCATTGATTATTAGCTTTGCAACAAAAGTTCAGTATTAGTCCATTATTTTATTCAGTAAGAACGAAACTAGCCTTGTGGAATTGTTACCTGTCTTTCCTACACACTATGCTTAATTACCTAAAGAAATATTGCCTTACATACATTCCCTTTTCCTTTCTCTGCCCTTTCCCTGTCTAGTTGCCTTTAGTGCTGTAACAGTTGTAGTCTACAGCATAAACAATAACTGCATATGAAGTAAAAGGAATACTGTGAAAGGGGGAGTGCTCTTGTACAGCCAGGTCGTCCGATAAGGAGCTATGCATTTTCGCAATCTCTACTTAAGTAGGTATTTACATACCACATTAAGCCTTCATTTTACGTATTTACAGCTTTTCTGTTTTCCAGATGAGATAAAAGAATTTCATGCTTAAAGTTAAATGTGGTCTTTGCCAATTAAATCTAAGACATCACATTAGTGATTTAAATATCATTTACTATGTTTCTAAGGTATTGTTTGCTAATGGTAAGTCCTGCATTAGACATGAGTGTGCATTTGTGATTGTGTATTCATTCCATTATCAACACTGACCAAATTCTTAGAAATAGTTGTCTTACTAAAAAGGGAGCTTGTACAAAGTCTTGAGCCAACAGAAGTCCCATGATTGATGGTGCATTTACCTTTTATTGTGCCATAATATAACCATGTAGAAATGCTTTTTCTTCCTTCAACTGTATTTATTGCCACACTTCTCAAACTGATCCCAGTGTATTTTTATAAATAAATATTTTTTTCTTAAAGGTACGTAGAAGATCCTGTCTCATTTGTTACGCTACCATTCTTAAAGATTAGGTGCCACAGAAATTATTCCCAAATCAGCATCACCTTTGCCTGTGTTAAGGGTAATGTAGAACTGCTGTCACAGTTCGTGTTTTCTTTTCCATGGGATTTAATCCAACAACCTTGTAAAAATCTCCTGGGAGTGAGTGACAGTGACTTAACAGGAAAGGAATGCAGCTCCTTTACAGCAGAGTTCACTTCCCCTCTACATGACTGTGAGGTCATGACCGGAGATCCTTAGCTGTTCACTAAATCCCTGCTCTTTTCTCAAGGCAAATGAGGATCTGCACACATTTAAAGCTGCCTCTGCTTCAGCCTATAACCTTCATACCATCACGTTCAGAACTCTAAAGCATGAGCGTTTTGAGTATGTAAGAGATAGAGATATCCCAACCTCTGTGCCTGCTGGTCAGCAGTCTGAGTTCTGAGTTTAGTTACTAACAGCAGAGCTTTATTCCTCACCATGGAGCGCAGACAGGCTGTACTACTAATTTACCTGGGCTGTTTTTAACAGGAGAAAAAGAGCACAGTATCAATGGGGGCCACTGTTGCTGATCCTAACCTTTGTTTTAAAAAAAAAAAAAAAAAGGTATTTTAAAAGTATTTACTGCAGATTAAACTTACTTGCATTACCATATAAAATGTTTTACACTTGCAAGTTCTGGACTTGTAAAGGATTCTTCCCTCAAGCCTAGAAATGGTTAGTGCTTTGCTCCATTAGTTTCTATCATCTTTGAGTGTGATGTGATGATTTGATTTTCAACTGACCTATTTGTTGAATAAATCTTAAGCTTATCAAAGAATTTAAATTTGAAAGGACCTCTGGAGGTCACTGGTCCAAGCCCTGCATCTGAAGCAAAAGAATTATTACCAAGATGTCTTTTAAGACCTACTCTTCCTGAACTATACTATTTCCCCCCCTTCAAAATAATAGCATTTAACAATTTAGAACTATTGTATTGAATGCTGAAAAGCAGTGCTACGATCAACAACAAAAGCTGTGTTGCTTTCATAGTTTGGGTGAAAGCAGGGTCTCTTTTTGAAGGCCTGAACCACGCCCTCCTACTCTTTCTGATTCCGAAACGTCTGCTTTAAACTGCTTGCACACATTTATTAGGTATGTACTTGAACAGAGGAAACAAAACAACACACAAACTGTTCTCAATATGCCTGTTTTCTTTCATCCACAGAGGTATCCAGTAGAATCATAACTGAATTAAGTGAGAGTTTGAAGTAGACACCAAAGAAGACCAAATGCAAACTGCCTTGCTTAAAACAGTAAGGTGTAATACTTAGCCATTTCCTAGTGTACAGACACCAGTAGTCGCCATCACCTATTTTTAAGGAATATAGTTATAAAAGTACCTTTCATTCCTCTGAATCCAATCTTCCATAGCTGCAGGGAGGAAGAGTCTACACAGTAGTGGGCTGCTTTGCAGGGCAGATGTTGAAATACCAGAAGTGGCTTAGACAAGTATCAGTACCTGAACTAGTACTAACTACGTGTTCATGTGAGCTGTGCCTACATCCAGCCCCCACCACCTGGTTTATAGTTGCCTGACTACAACATCCTGCAGGGGAAGACAGCAGTGAGAAACGAGCGCTAAAGAGCATCAGCTTCTGTAGGGGTGCTTTATCCCTCTAACTCAGGTGAGGACTCCTGCCACACAGGAATGCTACAGTTGGAGGTTGTTGACACAACTGGTAATGGAATGTATGTAAGATTGGGAGGTCCTGTGTTGCACCTGAAAGTTACAGAGGTATGCTTTGTGTACAAAATTTAAGTAAAAAGTATACATTTAGAATGTATATTCTTTAAAAATATATGTGACTCTCAAAACATATTGTCACAGTTGTAATTTCTAGATTATGGGCAGTACAGCATTGCTTAATTGAAACACTCAAATACAGCTTAATTTCAGTACCTTCCTTCTTTTAAAAAGCAAAACATTATTTTTACATTGTGGAGACACTACTGCTTGGAAGCAATCTTACTGGGACCTGTGGCAGAGGAAAAGTTTTGCCCCTCTGTAAGTACCCTATCTGCACACTTTCTCACAGTTAGAGCGCTATTGCTTACTCAGCATGATTTTCAGTTCCCACAGTCTCCACAAGCCAAGCACCAGAAGTACCCAAGTGTAGTTTTAAATAATGAGAGGTACCAAGTCACAGCCAGTAGATGACCAGCTTCACCTGCCAGGCAGAAAGTAATTAATCTATTTCTTTCCCCTTTTCATCATCTATCCCATATTCCTCAACTTTTTGAAGTGGCTCATATTAAAGTGGACAAAAGTTAATTAAATGAAGAATAAAAAGCCAGTATTTCTTAGCATCCCCTAGCAGATAACTAGTCTCCTTTCAACAGCAGGAGATGAGATACAGCATTTAGTGAGCATTTACATCTCATTTAGATGAGAAACAGATTTGTCACTGAGGCCATCAATGAGCTTTTCTGTATGTCACTTCCAAGCTGTGACTAATCAAAGGTTTATCAGTCTGTTCATTATGGCAGCTTATGAGTCACTTACCTGCAGTAATGTCTCACTTCCTATACTGATGGGTACTTCACTGAAATCCCTGCTTGGAGTCATCTTCCCACCTCAAACCTCCCCTCAAACAAAATGTTAAAGGAGCTTTTGAACAAAGAGAAGAAAATCATGTTCCACTGAGTAAAATCTAAAACTACCCCATACTCAGAACGAGGTGGAGCCCATAAAAGTGTATTATAACCAGGGGCCAGGTACGAAGTTTAAACAAGCCTCAGAATTGCTCGCAAGAAAATGCCAACAGACTGTTACCAGTCCCTCTTCTGACTAGAGCCTGACAGTCTTCTCTACATTCCTAATTAAAAGAAGGACACCTACCTCATAACCATTAATTATCTTGACTACAGAGAATTTAATCAATGGTAATTTCCATCAATGAGCTCAGTGCTGTCCTTAATTGCTTGCACTGGCTGTTCAGATATACAGAATAAATCATGAAACAGTCATCTCAGAGTGCCTCCTCTACAAATGTTTCTACGTTTACTGATCCAGGGATGACTGGCTCAGCGTTCCTAGAGAAGCACGAAAAAACCCATGTTAGCTGACACACCAAAAAGCTAAAAACGACAGCTCGATGACCTTGTTGACTTAGTATTTTTAGGCTGACAACATAGAAATTTACAAGGAGTTTGTTTATTAACAACTTCCAGACCATCATAACAAGTATATTAATAAAAATCAGATGTGCTGAACACAAAATACATTATTCATACAAACAGATTGTGTGTCATTTTACCAGTGCAGAAGGTACAACACAGATTTAGAGAACTAATACTTTGTCCTGGGGTATTGGTAACCTTTACTTTTTTTTCTATGACTGTTTTTGCTATTGCTGGTCTGCCTTCATACTTCCTGGTGCATTTCACGTTCAAGTCTACAATGAGAGAAAAAAGGAGTCAAACTGTGTAGCACTAGTCCTGTTGCTGCGTTTAAATGTCGTAAGAGTAAACTGGGAAAATAATTAAGGATCTTTTGTGTCTCAAATCCACAATCGTCTCGCAGGAAATAACCGTTCCCCCCCCGGTTTCTGTGCTCAGCAAAAAATTACTGAAGAATGCAATAACAGATCCACACAATGAAAAAAATCAAGTACAGCTATCCCTCACGGAAGCAGTGCTCTTAGCCCAACTGCCTATAGCAGAATGCCCACAAGACTGCGTGAGAGCTTGCTAGAGCCTGGTACCTCTTGAAAGCAGACCAAGAAAAATCACCAACATCTGTTACGCTTGTGTAAGAAGCAGGTAGGAGGACACAAGACACTAGTAGTAGTGTCCAGCAGGCGTAGGTGCCAGAGTGTCTGTTGCTGCAGAATCCTTCTCCAGCAGCCCTGGCTTGGCCCCCCTGATGCTGGGGGGAAATCAGCCCAGATTCTGAACTTGCTGGGTCAGCTTCTCAGGTTGGGCAATTTGCAGTATTTTTTCAGGTGTCAGTTAGTGAGCGTTTACTCTCAGGACTTTCCCAAGCCTGGGTGTTGGGGAACACTCCCTTCTGGCACCTCAGCTTTTTTACCCCAGCGTAAAACAGAGCAAATAAATATATACACTGATAGAAAAGAAAGAAAGCAAAAGGGTGGGGGTGGAGACGGAAGGCCTCTAAGCTCTGATCTTACAGCTCTGGAACTTCAGCAGTTCCGGCATGAAATCAAGCAGCCCACCACTCTTCTGACTTTCCTAGAGCAGGCATGTGAAGGACTATCTGAATAGGATTTATCTCCCACCCCCTTGCCATTGCCAAATCTTTCTCTTCCTCTGCTGGGCACACTGGGGAACAGGAAGAAGGATGAGAACAAATATTTGATCCATCCATTTTGCACCAGCAGAGGATTTCCTGAGGAGGGAAAGCAATAGAACAGGCTACTGGGTACAGCATGTTGATTAATGTGAGACATCAGGAGATACATGACAGCTTACATCCATTCTTCTTGGGACATAAAGGCAAACACATTAGCTGGCAGACAAATACATATCCCACACTCCTGTCTTACCATAGGTTGGAGCTCTGTCCCATCTTCATTGTCCTGGAAAGATCTCATGCTTCTGTGTTTTTGCCCTTCTGTTAACTTGTTACTCTGTTTCACAAAGGTCTACAAGCAAAAACCAGGGTGAGATCATTTGGGAATGCAAACCATTATGTAAATAAAAACTACCTGGTAAAGGAAGATAATTAGCCTGGAGCTAAGAAACTGTAGCTGGTTCCTAGGTAGATGACACCGAGTGATACCAGGAGGGACTCTGCAGAGGCAGCAAGGGTGATGAACACAACTGCAAAGGATGAATCAAGAATCCCTGTTACATCTCCTGCTACAGGAATGAGGACTCTGGCTGTCTGAAATCCCTCACCTAGCTCTCCGCCCGCTGCTGCATATTGTCCTGAGGGCCACAGAGCCTCCCTTCCACCCCCAGATGTTTGTAACCCGAC